AGAAGTAAAGTTTGTCTTGATTTATTTTAAATCCTGGTTAAATACGTAAGATTAAATCTATCTTACTGTATCATTCCTTATTAATGCAGGGTAAAATTTTAGTGAACAATTTTGAATTTCAGGACAGATTCTACCACAGTTTGTGTAACCCTGGGCAAACAACTCACCTTTTTATATGCCTATCTTCTCACCTATAAAAATGAGCTCTAAATCTCAATATTTAAAAATCTCACTCTAACATTTATAAAATAAGAAGTTTCTGGAAAGACCTTTGATTTTTTTTCAACTGTAGTATTGTGCCTGCCCCATATACCGAGGGTGGCAGGTTTGAACTAGGCCTCGGCCAAACTGCAAAAAAAAAAAAAAAAAAATAGTGTCGTGTCGGGCCCAGCTACTGTGGGGGCTGAGGCAAGAGAATTGCCCAAGCTCAGGAGTTGGAGGTTGCTGTGAGCTGTGACACCATGGTACTCTACCAAGGGCAACAAAGTGAGACTCTGTCTCAAAAAAAAAAGGAGTGGGTTTAAGGCTAGTTTGGCTATTTAATACAAATGGGCTATACCTGTTTTTATCTTAATCAGAATGTCATCAAGCAAAATCCACAGGAATATCTAAACTGGAGCCCATTAGAAAAAGAAGATATTAATCAAAAGACATTTTCTGCTCTATGATCTTTGACCTAAATCTCCTACATATTGACTGAAAGACATAGCAGTAAAACCAAACCCTCCAAAATTTGAAAGCACAGTTGAACCTTGAACAATGCAGGGGTTAAAGGTACAGACCCCCCAAAGCAGTCAAAAATCCATGTATAGGGAGGCACCTGCAGCTCAGTGGGTAGGGCACCAGCCCATATACCGAGGTGGCGGGTTCAAACCTGACCCCAGCCAAACTGCAACAAAAAAATAGCCAGGCGTTGTGGCTGGCGCTTGTAGTCCCAGCTACTCTGGAAGCTGAGGCAGGAGAATCACCTAAGCCCAGGATTTGGAGGTTGCTGTGAGTAGTGTGACGCCATGGCACTCTACCTAGGGTGATAAAGTAAGACTTTGTCTCTACCAAAAAAAAAAAATCCATATGTGACTTGTGATTCCCCAAAAACTTACCTACTGACAGCCTACTGTTGATCAGCTTTACCAATAACATAAATAGGAGATTAACACATAATTTGTAGGTTATATGTAATATATACTCTAATCTTACGATAAAGCCAGAGAAAAAAATTATGAAAATCACAGTGATTAAGAAAATACATTGGCTCAGCACCTGTGGCTCAAGTGGCGAAGGCGCCAGCCACGTACACCTAAGGTGGTGGGTTCGAATCCCCAGCCCGGGCCCACCAAACAACAATGGCTGCAACCAAAAAATAGCCGGGCATTGTGGCGGGTGCCTGTGGTCCCAGCTACTTGGGAGGCTGAGGCAGAAGACTGGCTTGAGCCCAGGAGTTGGAGGTTGCTGTGAGTGTGATGCCATGGCACTCTACCCAGGGGGATAGCTTGAGGCTCTGTCTCAAAAAAAA